TGGCGGCGGTAATTGTGCAAGCACAGACGAGCCGGTATTATCCTGGGACGGCGCATGGGACTTGGCTGCCATGTAAGACGGTCTAGCACACGGTGAAGGCGCAGAGAAGAGACGGGAAGGAGATGAAGAAGAAAACACTGGCAAGGTCCAGGCGTAGAGGGCTTCCGGTGACTCGGAGGCCGTCGGGCTATCCTTTCAGCGGAAATTGACAGCCAAGTCACCGGTTTTCTGGCGGGAGATAAGTGTGAGGCAGAATCTTATATCTTTCTCGGTAGCAGTATATGCTGCAGAAGCAGCGGTGAGGCTTCCCAAGGCGCGAGGAGGAGGACGGACCCGCAGAAAATCAGACCGACGACATGGATGCACGCAAGTGGGGTGAACAGCGGGTCGAATGGACGCTGTGGGCATAAACAGGGCTTAAGAACAATGGACGACAAGCGGATATTGCGGCAATTCGCCACCGCCTGCAGCAGCAGCCTCGGGATACGGAAGCATCACGGCCAGGGATCGTTCATATTTAAATGGCTTGAATTGCACCACAGACCAACGTTGGTAAGTCTATGTCTATGTAGGGCAAGGCAGTAAATGGCACGACGGGGGTTAGGGTTGCCGGACAGACAGTTGTGGCACACCAAACAAAGATTTGATGTGACCGCTCTTGCCTCGCCATCTCCTTGTTGCAAGTTCGTTGCGACTTATCCTCCTCCAAAATGCAGCCTGCATCCCGTCCTGCCTCTACTTCCACTCGTCCTACCGCCTCTCCCAACCCAAGACCACCACAGTACCAGGTCAATACCCAGACAAAAGTGTTTGATACCTCCCATGGCCGCCTTCTTTGTATCGCTGACATCCGCGGTCGTTTGTCTGCTCTCAACGACCTCGCACGCGAAGCGAATGCATCTGCAATCATTCATACAGGGGATTTTGGCTTTTTTGGTATGTTTGCATCCTGTTTTACGCGTAGGGACCAGCGACATTGACTGTCTGCAGAGGCTTCGAGTCTCGACAGAATAAACGACAGGACCCTCCGCCATCTGACGATGTACTCTCCACTCATCCCCACTGCCCAACGGAACCATCTTCTCGCGCCTGAAAATCCGCCGTCTGTCGTCCGCTCAACGGTCACCATCTCCCTCCTCTCTGAGTTTCCTCTTCTCCTCTCGGGCCAGCTCAAGCTTCAAGTACCCGTTTTCACCGTCTGGGGCGCGTGCGAGGACGTGACTGTCCTCGAAAAATTCCGCGCAGGCCAGTATGAAGTCGAGAACCTCCACGTCATCGACGAAGCCACCACCCGTTGCCTCGACATTGGCGGCGTCAAGCTCCGTCTTCTCGGCCTCGGTGGCGCCCTCGTCCCCCACAAGATGTTCGACAACGGTGACGGAAGCGCCACCATTGCCGGCGGACAGGGAACCATGTGGACTACCGCGCTCCAGATTGGCGAGCTCGTCGATACTGCTCAGCGTGTCTTTGACCCAACAGAGACCCGTTTACTTGTCACTCATGCCAGTCCCGGTCGCGAGGGTATCATCAACCAGCTAGGACTCGTTCTCAAAGCCGATCTGACTATATCTGCTGGCCTTCACTTCCGGTACGCGTCATCTTACAACGAATTTAGTGTTCAGGGAGACTTTGAGGGTCTACGCCACAAGCTATTGATCGGGAAAGAAGGCTTTGACAAGGTTTGGGACAGCGTCAAGTCGCAAGTAGATGCTGTCATCGACGAACACCAGCGTGTGCTCCTGGACAAGGCTTTATCGGTTGTGGAACGCATACCGGGGCCGGCGAATCAGCCTACGCAGAACGGACAATTCCCTCAAGAGGAGCCGTCCTGGAAGAACTGCTGGAATTGGAACCTGTGCGATGCGGCGTATGGTTCCCTTGTGCTTGACGTCAAAGATGGTCGAGTGAGCGGGGAGCTTAAGAGTCAAGGTAAACCATTGATTTGCACATTCTACTTGCATGGTTGATAATACGATCTAGGCTTTAACTACGCATACCGCCGTACCGTGACACCTTCAACCGTCGAGCCCACTCCTAATTCGGCGACTTCCTCGCTACCAGTTACTGGTGCAGGACCTGGCAGTGGTGCCGCCACGACGCCTGTGGTTTCGACTAAAGGAAATGGCACACCCGTTCCAGGAGATAGGCCACAAGCATCTAAATCGAAACCATCAACGCCACCACCCCACTCTGCTTCTGGCCGCGAGACACCCAAAGACGCGAGGGCGAATGGTACGCCCACCGGCAATGCGGCCGACAAGGCAGAACGAGAGCGGGCGAAGCGGGAACGCAAGAAGGAACGCAAGCAGCAGGAGCGTGCGGACCGCGAAGCAGCCGGGAAAGACGGAAGCGGCAGCACTCCCGCGACGCCGACGGTTCCCGAGGCTGTGAGTAGTCCGCCGCCTGCTCAGGTCAAGTCGGGCAAGGCGACGCCCGACGCGCATGCTGCTGCTGCCACAGCGAATGACGCTGTGACGTCACCTGCGACGGAGGGCAGTGCAGGTGCACGAACACCCACCAGCAGGCGGCCAGCGCGGAATCCGTGGACGATCTTCATGCGCATGCCTAACCCTGCAGACGAGAACGAGGTGCGGGAATTCTTCGGCGAGGCGAAGGCTGGGGTGAGTGCCATTGGACTAGGATCTTAATGGTATACTTATCAAGTGATCCGTGTTGCAGATCACGCGAATCAACTACCCGCTTAACTTCCCGGGCAAAGCGCAAAAAATGGTGTACGTCGAGTTTGGCGATGAGGAGGCTATGAAGGCCGGACTGGAGCGACAGGGCGAGGTGAGTGGTGCGATGCGTGTACGAGCGAGTGTGTCTGTCTAACGCACCTCACACTTGCAGAAACTAAACGATGGGTTACCGGAGTTGAAACAGGCGACAGACAAGGAGTCGCGCCATGCTGAAAATGGCGGCCCGAGAGGAGGATTTGCACACCGTGGCGGGCGTGGGCGAGGTGCGTTTGCGGCGAGAGGCTTTGCTGCTGCTGGCTTGACAAGAGGTGGGTTCGACAAGCGGGCGAACGGGGACACCCCGTCGGAGGGGCCGAGGGCGTCTGAGGGATCGTAAGGATGTGGGACGATGACTGGAGGAGTGTTATGGCCTTTCAACTTTATCTTCACTTCGCGCAGAGATCGGCGGTGCCCTCCGTGTTTTATCTCTTCTCGACGCTGCGGCTTGTTCTTCGTACTTATGATCATCGTAATGAGAGACCCCCGCTACGACAGCAATGATTATGATTATGTTTTTTTTTCTTGGTTCAGACGTTCGGTTTTAGCAATTTTTGTCTGTTCTTTATGTTCGCGAAATGAGACGTTCAGTAACAAGTAGACTGTTAAGTAGCAGCATTATTGTTAGCAAGGATTTTAGTGGATTTCGGAGGGCCGGCCGAGGATTGTCCAGGCGTGCTATTGGTTCGATCTTCGATCGGCGCATGTGATTGCCTGTTGGACCTACCCCGGATTTAAGTCTGTCGATACTGCCGGTCGACTTCCTCTCTCCTCTCCTCTTTGACGGCGACCATGTTGCGCACTGCCGCCCGCATCACCCAGCGCTCCTGCCGCTCCCAGCCTCGAGCTCTCGCAACGAGAATAGCCTCCAGGTAATTCCACATTACATAGAGTGTATCGTTGAACCCTACTCAAAGCCCTCAAGGACGTTCTCTGCTTCCCGTACTATTGCAGACGATGTTCGACCAACTTCTTTGGATGTTCTGACAGAGGAAGAGAAGATGCTCAAGGAATCAGGTACATCTGCTGCTTAGCCATACCATAACGTCTGTTTAACTGTGTGTAGTCGCTCGCTTCGCGCAGGAGGTCATTGCCCCTAAAGTACGCGAGATGGACGAGGCTGAAATGATGGATCCCGAGATTATCCAGAAGCTATTCGAGCAAGGAGTGCGTACGCTATGTAGTCTTGTGGATGTTGATCTCGGCGTCTCACCGCCAACCATTAGTATATGGGCATCGAAACCAGCGCGGAGTATGGCGGCGCCGAATCCTCGTTCACCTCTGCAATCATTGCTATAGAGGAACTAGCTAAAGTTGATCCGTCTGTGTCTGTTATGTGCGACGTACACAATACCTTGGTCAACACCGTCATTCGTCTATATGGTACCAAGGAGCAGCAGGACAAGTGGTTGCCTCTGCTGAGCGAGTCGAAGGTGCGCAAATTGACTTTCAGCTCAAAAATCGATTGTGAACTCTGTACTCCAGCTCGCGTCATTCTGTCTATCGGAGCCTGCGTCGGGGTCAGACGCTTTCGCCCTTCAGACTCGCGCAGTCAAGGATGGCGACCATTGGGTAATCAACGGTACCAAGATGTGGATCACGAACTCATATGAGGCTGAAATATTCCTTATTTTTGCTAATGTAGGTATCACAACACTGTCTTGCCTCCAGTCTGCTGAGCAACTTTATTTGCCAGATTGACCCGAGCAAAGGCTACAAGGGTATTACTTGCTTCCTTGCAACAAAAGATATGGGGATCAAGATTGCAAAAAAGGAGCAGAAACTTGGCATTCGTGCATCTTCAACATGCTCGCTCAACTTCGACGATTTGCGGGTTCCGGCAGAGAATATTATTGGGGGCGAGGGCAAAGGATACAAGGTATGCTGCTGGTGCATCGGGAATCTGTGTGACACAGCGCTGAGATACAAAGGTTAGGTCGCCATCGAGATCTTGAATGAAGGTATAAGTTCATATACAGTCATCACCATGTACACGTGCTCATGCTTGCTCCTACTGTGCAGGCCGCATAGGTATCGCCGCACAAATGCTTGGACTTGCACAGGGCGCTTTCGATAAGGCTGTGCCATACACGTTCCAGCGATCACAGTTTGGACAACCCATTGGCACATTCCAAGGGCTCGCGTTCCAGCAGGCACGCGCAGCAACGGAGATCGAGGCTGCCCGCCTGCTCACATACAACGCAGCACGGCGGAAGGAGGAGGGTCTGCCTTTCGCGCGTGAGGCGGCAATGGCGAAGCTTTACGCGAGTGAGGTGGCCCAGCGAGTGAGCGGCGCAGCGATCGAGTGGGCTGGTGGTGTTGGGTTCACGCGGGAGACTGGTATTGAGAAATTCTGGCGAGATTCGAAGATTGTACGCTCTTTCCCCGCATGTTCTCCACGTATCTCGTTGACTATTTCTTGCCCAGGGCGCAATCTATGAGGGAACATCAAATATCCAGCTACAGACAATCGCCAAGTTCATTCAGAAGCAGTACTCATAGTCCTAGGATCCTCTGACGTTGATGTCGCGACTCGCGTGGCGTGTTGTGTTGTCGACTTGCGGTATGGCCACGGACACTGAGCAGTATTACAGGAGCCCTATATCACAAACCAGTCACTTGCTAGTAAGATTGTCAAGAAATGTATTGTATCATATTATCGTTCCTGTGTCCGCATGAACATGAGTACACCTTCATATGTCGCCCAAGCGATTGCTGAGTTGGCGGGCTTGCGTACGATGCGTAGGACTGCGCCGTCATAGAATCCACGGATACCCCGTTGCTACGCGAGAAGATGTCATGAAGCATTTGAGTATTGACCTGTGTTTGCTTACCTGGAAGATAGTCCATACGGTCTTGATAACTCCGTGATAGCGGTCTTCGGCTCGGACCTGCATTTTAGTCTGCGAATCGCGTTAGGAAAACTTCTTTTAAGTTGGCTAAGGTACTACCTTCACGACGTCGAAGGGATGTGTGGCAAGACTAGCTACGACACCAGCAGACGCCGCAGCAACGCCATGAACTGCAGTAGAAGCCATGGACGACTGTGGTTGTACGAGACGAACTAGGATCGCGTCAGAACACGACCCACACTGCCGAACGATGCGACGGCCATCCCATGTTTCGCGTTTTCGACACATACCTGCTTCGCCTTTGATGTGTTCGTACGACAAGACGAACAGCCCTGCATATGGTGCGTCGCGGACGGACGTGGCGACAATTCCCCGAAAGAGCTCGGACGGGCCCGCGCGCACCAAGGAGCCGATGGCCCCCGTCATGCTATTGTACGCGTACAGATTGCTCTGTACGAGTGTAAGGGAATAATCTAGTAGTATGCAGCCGGTGAACACACCTCATACCGCGCTTTCAGCACTGTGAACGGGTTCAGTAAGATGCCCACTGTCACGCGGGTGGTGGCACCCGCTATGAGGTTACCCCATTTTGTGAGCTTAGGGAGGACCGAGCCGGAGTGCGTGCGTGCGGGGTCAGGAGCGGCGGCAGCGAAGTAAGGAGAGGTGGCGAGGAGCATGCGGGCGTGATTCAGGCCGGTGAAGTAAAGCGCGACACCGGGCACATTTCTGGAGGCAGACAAATTGCTGAGATGAGCAGAAGGAGGGTGAGTGGATCCGGCTCACCGTAACAAGGTGGCAGTTGTTCCGCGCCATAGACCAGGTAGCCCGTTCTTTCGGACAATGTCGCGCGCCGTTTCAAGAATTGTTCCCCCGCGGCTGTCGTGAAAGTTGAACACAGACTATGGAGATTAATGATCATCCACGCACCTAACTCCGTGCACCGAGCCATCGCCTTGCTGCAAGCGCGTTTTCAAGAGGTCGACTTTGCATGAGTCTCAGAAATCAATATTGATGTATGCGGGGGATGTTGTCTAGTTGCTGACTTACGTGGTTGGAGGGATATGCTTGAGACAAACCCGGAGACCGCGCCTGTCGATGGTCAGAGAAAGATAAGCTTAGAATGACCATGAATGTTGGGAGAACTTAATAAAAATAGCAAACCTGAGACAAGGTGCTGGCTGGCATTGTTCATAAATCGCTCCTCGTAGTTTCACGCGACTCCAGAGCGATGAGCAGCACGATAGGCGAAGGGATAAGATGTTAAGTATGTGGAAGCGAAGGGCAAGTTCGGATGACTCTGGGTTGCGCATAACGTTCGCTCCGTCGTCGCCGATAGCAGTTTACTGTCTGACACCATCGGTGCTAGCAAATCATGATTACACTCTAAATACATGTTATGGCAGCAACACGGCATGAGCCTTCCAACTGTGATCTCCTTTGCCTCCCGCGTTCAGGCTTTCGTGTGCATCTACCGAGCGGTGCTCAAGAGGTGCGAGAACGCTGACGCCAGCGACGCGTCTCGTCGGCGGAGGACACGTGATCGACGCGTTTTCCTCCGCGACCAATTTCGTGTCGCGGCGTCGGCGTTGTTCTGGAAAGCTAAGTTATGAGGAATTTCTGCCGCTCCTGCACCCAATCCAGACCGCAGTTATTGTCCTCTCCTCTCGTGTTTCGTTCTTCGCCATATCTGTTCTTCAAAGCACGATATCTTAGCAGTACACAAAACAACGCACTCAGTCGGTTTGATGGTGCGCCTATCCTTAAGTATGTCAGGCAGAAAGTGGAGGAGCGCAGCAAGCTGCTCTCTCTAGTGAGTCTTAGTTGCATACATGATGGAAGCTTCCCATATCAACTTTGTCCTCTTTAGATCTCGGATGATTTCTCGAATGCGGAGGACGTCTCGTTAGCCAAGCGGATCAAGGATTTGGAACCGCTGGAGACTGCATGGAAAGAGTGGTCAAACACAAGGAAGGTTCGTAACTACAAGTCTTGAGGCTAAACTGCTACTCACGTGTAGTCAACAGTAGTCATTGCAAGAAACCTTGCCACTCCTGGATGACGCTGACCCTGCGATGCGCGCTCTCGCGGTGGAGGAACACGCGTCTCTGTTGGAGACACTCACCAACCTCCTAGACAGCACTTTCCCTACGCTTCTTGTTCCCGCCTCTGATACTGCCCATTTATCTGCCCTCGTTGAACTCAAGGCAGGCGTTGGTGGATCTGAGGCATCACTCTTTCTAGCTGAGCTTGTGCGCATGTACACGCGTGCCGCGAACACTCTGGGCTGGAGGGCGACGACAATGAGTAGTAACATGCTTGAGGGAGGGAATGGTATGAAAGACGCTATACTGGAGGTGAAAGGGGACAAAGCGTACGACGCTCTACGCTGGGAAAGTGGCATTCATCGTGTGCAGAGAGTACCGGCTACGGAGGCTAATGGACGAGTGCACACGAGCACAGTAGCAATTGTGGTACGTGATCATAATTTAACACGTCCTTTGGTTTCTCTGACTGGGTATGGTCAGGTCCTTCCCCTGTCAGAGGAAAATGACTCTCATGCTGGAAAAGACGAACTTTTCTCACCTGACGAGATCAAAATTGAAGTGATGCGCGCACGCGGCGCCGGAGGCCAGGTACTAGGTTGTTCAACCGCTATTATTCTCTATGGCTGATAAAGATAATCAGCACGTTAACAAAACGGAGTCCGCTGTCCGTCTGACTCATCTGCCAACTGGGATCACTGTATCCATGCAAGATGAACGTAGTCAGCATCAGGTTCGTTGACTACAGCTCATTGTGGTCTTCTGTCTGATATTCCAATATAGAACCGTCGTCGAGCATTCCAAGTCCTTCGCGCACGTCTTATGGACCGTAAACTGAGTCGGGAAGTTATGGAACGACGAGCAGTGCGACGCAATCTTGTGCGGAGTGCGGATCGGAGCGAGAAGATCCGGACCTACAACTATGCCCAGGCGAGTCTTCCCCCAATGCTAATCTTTTACTCAGTCATTGCTCATACTAAACTGCAGGACCGTGTCACAGACCACAGGTTGGGTCTATCTCTTATGAACCTCATGTCTGTCATGGAAGGTGACGGACTGCAGGAGATTCTGCAGGCACTGGAGGAAAGGTATCGCAATGAAAGTCTGGAGGAAGTACTAACACAGTAATGATTTTTCATTGGTGCTACTGGCCTAGCGACAGCCCTCACCTCTACCACTAGATAACGACGTTTCTAGATCTGCTGCCCATGGAATAGACATGGAGTATCACTACGCTTTTGTTTCCATCTATCCATCTAGTGAAATGGGATGTGACGAGGATTTCGTACGCCAAGTGCGTGAATGTTGTGTCTTGAAGCATAGACTGACCATGTCAGTAAGCACAATGGCCTATTTGTAGCAGGCTAGTTGATCATCGGACCTCGAATACCTTTACGCACGCCTGAGGGCGTGAGCGTGCACCCCTTGCTTTGTAGAATCTCTCGCTGACGAGCAGTGCTGGTATGCATCGCTGCCCTTACATTCTGCCTCATCCATCTCAATTATTCACTGCCTCATACGATGGTCGCTTGCGTTTCGTGCCCGACTTTGTCGTGGTCTTTCGGACTGTGCCTTGGAATAGGTTGCACCCTGCCCTTTTCTCTTCGGTTTTGGCGGCTCGAAGCTGTGGCGATCTCAGCGGGAACACGCCGAAATTCGATATCGTATTCTACAATTGCACCACACCTCAATCACCTGTGAATGATCTAAGTCTGAACAAATACAGGGAGACGCGCATCAAATACTGGTCGGTATCTGTGATCCATGTAGCCTCACATTGGACTAGACTTCCCCAGTACCCAGACTAATACTTGCATATCCGGACCGTGAGGCCATTCTGTGCTTGCGGGCCTGTATTCGAAGTACAATGTAGGGCCGCTGGGGTTCTGTGATCCGCTAGGGTTGTACTCTGGCTTGAGGCACACCACTCTTTTCCTACAGCAAATTTTTTCAGCTTGCTGACAGAAGTGCAATGCATCTTAACAAGGATTCTACTCTGGGGATTCTGTGGCAGAGCGCGTTGTCATTCAAGCACAACGGAGTATCATAATACTTGCTCGCCGTGTGGGCCAAGCTCATCATTCCAAGCCGGGCTCTCCCGCCTCGCTCCTCTTGGCACTTGCGCTTTCTGATGACCATTTACATCAGGACGTCGGGGCGTCACATGTTACGTCCCCCCGCTCAGGCGCGTGCTGATGTTCTCGCGCCGATCTCTGCATCTCGCTAGTCTTCCTTTCCATGTGCCGTCACAGTCCGGCTGATTCACCAAGCGTGAACGCGTTGCAAACCTAACGGAAAATGAAATGACCACAGTGAATGTAAAGTTGTCGAAGACTGAATACTGAGGCGACTGACTCAACCGCCGCCTATCCCCGGCAGATGCTAGCTGAATTATAGCACCTGCTGGCATGTTCGGTAATATGGTGCAGTAGTTTGCCAACCCAAGATGTGAAGGATCTCGTTGAACACAGCTTATCAGTGGTCCTTGAAACTCTAACTGGCAGTATGTCGTATGAGAGGTATTGGACGATTGACAAATATTATATCCAGACAATTTGGCAGCATGATCTAGATAGGCGGCTGTAGGCGGCCGTGTCGGGGATCAGATCGATTCCGAGCCGGACTTATTATACTTGCGGGGACAACATTCAATTTCAATTCTACGTTAGCAAAGACTCTATGTCAGTCTCATGATCAATTCAACAAGACTGCACTGACCTCGAGCTTGTATGTTCATCTCAATGTCTTCTACCTTCTCTTTTGCGAATTGCGTGCTGTTTTGACATGCTTGTAGCAATTCGAGTGCAAGACTGGATCAAGTCTACTCGTAATTTGGCACGAAAGATCCCGCCCAAGCTGTGGCTACGGAGGGAACCAATACTGCGACCACTGAGTCGACGGTTTTAAAGTGTCGACTATTGCCGAGTGAAAATAACGCATGAGTATGTCTCCCAAGCAAGCCTTGATCCGTTGGAAAGCCATCAGATGCTCCTGGAAATCGGTCATAGCGGCGACTCTCACTCGGTCTGCTCACCCCGACGTTGTAGTCAGTAATGCGTACCTCGAACCCTTAGCACCGACAAACAACTGTGCCGGGTGCAATTCAGACTTCACATAAATTCTCGAAGTCTCCAGTTCCACCTCGCCGAGCAAGTGTCGAGCCCGAGCCAACATGCCCTCCACAAAGTTTCATCGGGCATTTTCGCTGATTTGCCTGTCAAGTCAAGTCTATGCTCTAGTAAAGGTGCCATTCTCCACGAGTTTGGTGTGAGTTCGATTCATTTCATCTTCCCTGTGGACTTGATACAGTCATAATTGCAGTCCAAAGTTGTCAAAACGCTCCACAAACACAGATACCGAAGATTGCATAGATTGTTCCTCTGCACCGACTATCAATGCTGGTTTGAAGGCCGTGGTATCTGGTTTGTGGTGAATTATGCATCATTTAATGATATGCGGCTTACTAGATGTACCCTGTGCAGTCGAAGCTGGGGATTTTCAAACGTTCAGCAATGTGGAGATTGACACGGGCAGTGCCTTGTTCTGGGTAGGTGCTGGACAGAAATATATACCTGGTCCACACGCCTACAGGTGAGTAATATCTATCTATCATATCTCTCGCGTAGGCTGACGGTTCTCTTTGTTTATTAGTCTCAATCAAACCTTTTCAGAAGGGTGTGTACTCTTGTCGCAGAGATGCATGATGCTTAGCGTTCAGGCTAATGCTTTACACAAGATATGGTGACGGTTATGCCAACGGAACCGTATATGCCGATCGCGTCACCATCGGCAACGCAACCGTGGATTCACAAATAATCGGTGCCGCTCAATACATAGAGGGCTTCCAGCTTTCCATGCCATTTGATGGGCTTCGTTAGTACAAATACCTGGGTGTCATCGAAATATACTAACTGTATTCTGCCTACAGTTGGGCTAGGACCTAATGGCTCAAATACGAATCAGATATCGGGCTACGATACGACGCCTACCTTTGTCCAAAGCCTTGCCGCTGAAGGAACTATCGAAGACGCGATATTTGGTATCTACATCAGTCCAGTGGCTGAAAATGGCACACGAGGAGTGGGAGAGATCACGTTCGGTGGAGTGGACGAGAGCAGGTTCATCGGTGAGCAGCAAATCATGCACTTGATAGCTCTCAATTGTGGACGTGATAACTATCGTTTGATGCTGCTATATCAGGCGAGATCGATTGGGTTCCTCAAATCGAGCCGTACAACCTGCACTGGTCTTTCAACGTATGTTATCCTTTCACACGATGATATTTATGTTTGAACTTCTGTAATATTTGCAGGCGTCATATTTTGGGTGGGGGAATGAGTACGTTATCGATAGCCCCATATACGCCTTCACAGACACAGGCGGTCCTTTGCTTGAGATCCCATCGTAAGCTTATTCTCGTATTTCTCGTGCTGGAGATACCTCTGTTGATGCCATTGCAGTGACCCGTATATCTGGCTTCTCCAGAATGTTCCGGGTATCACGACGGATTCGACTTCGCTCATCCAAGGAGGTCTCATATTCCCCTCAAATATGACAGACACTCTTCCGCCATTATACATTGGCGTTGGCAGTCTTAACTTTACACTTTCACCATCACAGTGAGTCCCGCATGCTCTTGTTGTGCGATACTATTTTGATGATATTTCGGGATTAGATATACAGTAGCGAAGGCCTTGTACTCAGAGCTGAACATAACAGATGATGGCCAGATCCATACCTGGATTGCCACTGCGGGACCAGACGAGTATGACTTGGGCTGGCCCTTCCTACAACAAGCATATTCCGCCTATGACAGTATGTTCTCAGATCGGTTCGTGCTGAATGGTCACTGACGTATTTTTGTTTGTCCTCATAGTGGTAAACAACCGTAAGCCAGTGACCTCTCAACCCACGTACGCTTATAAAAACTGATCCGTTCGTAGGTGTTGGATTCGCACATCTGGCATGATCCTTTAGATTGGCTACAATTTCTGAAGCCTTACACTGGCGAAATAATAGATCTGTAGCATGTCTTAATCATTACGACTGTTGACTCATCGCGCAGTAACTTCGAGTGTTTTCTCGAGTCGTCGATTTTTCATGCGAAAAACAACTGATAGCCGACTTCAGCTTTAATATAAGCTTACGAGTGAATTAGTTTGGTGCGGGATACTGTGGGGGGAACCGAGATTTGAGTGAATGGACCTCACGTTATGTACGGCCATTTCTTCAGATTTCTACATCGTCGCTGCGTCATTCGCAATTGATCAATGCAAGTGTATTGTCCTAATCATCAACGTTCATCTACTTCAGCTCTGCAGTCTTGAAATTTTATGCAATGTTCCGAGTGTTAACGTAGCTTCGATATCGGCATTGGCAGGAACCTCCGTCTTTTCATCAAACTGGACCATAGATACACTCCCTGAGATCACTGTTGGCATGTCTTTGTTGAATGTTTCGATCCCTGCATCAAGGTCTCATTTTCTGCACCATTGAGCTCAATGCTGATGCTATGCTGATATCAATCAGTTCAGTCATTCCCAAGCGCTTCAAGTATTCCACCTTCAACATGACCGATGATCTAGTGTGTACACGGATCTCTCCGACGGGGAACGATATGTTCTAATGAGGACCAAAATTTATAGAGAATACATACACGGCATATAATAGTACGCTTCTCTTTCAGTCCAGTACGTTAGAAGGATGACTGAATCACGGTCACAATTGAGAACGACTGTACGTTACTGTTTTTTCTTAAAGAGAGTTGAGGTTGATCGCATTAGATTGCAACAGTAATCGGCTTTGCCAATCTTACATGAAAGCAGAGATTACATACGTCGAATGGCGATCTATGACCTGTTGCTATGATGGCGAGCTTCAAACCTCTCCTTTCGAAATTGGTGGTCACAAAGGAGGTGCTCATATAAAGACCTACTTGCGGTGGATGGTTTGCACGTGAGTAACTCTGAATATGATACGCTGATCATTAACCATCTTGGGTTCCACATATCCAGCGTGCTTTGTATAGCGTATATAGCTGGATTTGTCTCCGTCTCAAAGCCAACCTAGATGAACAATTCAGAAGTAGTTTATATGATAGGCACATCCATTAATGTTGCTGACTTACAATATCGTCTGAACATCATGAATGGGCAATTTTCGGCTCGACAACAGGCGAGTTATGTTCTCGACCTTCATCTCGTATACCGGGCATTGCCGGCTGCTCGGCCAATGTTGAATAGTAGAGCCTGCCTGCCACATCATTGACAACCCAGTCAAGGCCTTCGACAAGATTCTGTCCGGTGACGGCACTGCATGGTAAGATTTTCCAATGGTGTGACTTGATATTCAGAAGGTCGAGGGCCTTGTTAGAAAATCATGAATTCAACATTCAAGGGAATCTGTAAATGATATGACGTACATCTCGAATTTCAGCGCTGCTCATAGACCCTTGAATATCTTGTTTATTCGCAAAGACAAGAAGTGAAGCGCCCGCCAGTCTCTATTCTAAAGTCAAGTTCTATGCGGTGCGAATGCAAAACAAACAATGCCTACGTCTTCAAGCAATAGACTGTGGAGTTCATCCCTGCAATCTCTGATACGCATTCGATCGCCTGAATCAACAACCCAGACTAGAGCGTCCGTCTGTTCGAAGTAGTTACGCCAGTATGGCCGCAATGTTCGTTGACCACCGACATCCCCTGAACAAGGGAATGAAAATCGTCACGACTAGTAATACTGCTAGACTCACATATGTTAAGCGTGTAGCTGTACGCGATTGGACCCGGACATGGCCTTAGCTACCGCTGACGGTGTGCATACGAAGAATTCGGCTCACTTGCGATGCACGAACGTCTTGATGTTAAAGCCAAGCGTCGGGCTAATTCCCATGATGTCCTCGCCATTCAGTTTTTTCAAAATTGTTGTTTTGCCTGCATTATCGAGTCCGCTGTACTACAACATGAGACTTGCGCGTATCTCGAATAATCCAGCCTACAGGAAGAGGATTCGCATCTCCCTCTCCTTCTGTCGATTCTTCCTGATTATCGTGAGAAGCCCCATAGCCAACAGAGACCAGGATATTTGCAGCGTTTCGAGGTGTGACAGAAGACCAAGACGTCCTGAATCACGCGCTAGGCACTTTTCCTGGTGGTTCCGGCACGAGCCCCGCACCCAACTCCCTGCTCACTCATCATCTCCGCGCTCTTTCTCTTTCTCGCAGACATCCGTTACGATCTATTTGCTGAGGGTATACCAGCGACGATGGCTCCGAAAAACAAAGGAAAGAAAGGAAAGAAGCAGGACGATGACGACTTCTGGTGCGCCTACCACTGGCTTGAGAACCCGGGCAATATGCTCACTACTTATAACAGGGAGAACGCCGGCACATCCATCGCTAATAACAATGCCGGGATTTCTGCAGATGCAGCAGAGGCATCTGATGACGACTACAAGCCACAAAAGAAGGCTGGAGGATTTTCTGCCTTTGCAGCAATAGGTATAGACGAAGGCGATGCAGCTGCAGAAGAAGAGGACTTTGGAGGACTTATGGTATGTTTCTTTGTCCACACTGTTCGAACATAATGTATGGTAATGTCGATGTATATGGTATAGTCTGTGATCAAGGCATCCTCCCGGACTAAGAAGGATAAAAAGGATAAAAAGGCGGGCAAGAAGCCTGCGGCAGATGTATCATTTGCAGATGGTCCATCCCCTGGAGAGGGATCTGACGGCGAGGCCGCTGCGGCGAAAGGCGATATCAGTGCTCCTCAAAAGCCCATTCAGATGACTGCAGAAGATCTGGCTGATGAGGAATGGGGTCCGGTGAAAGACACCAAGAAGAGCAAGAAGGGAAAAGGGAAAAAAGGAAAGGCTCACGATGACGATGCTGAGGGCGACAAGGCAGGTGCGTATGTGTGAACGTCATGGAATGGAAGAAAAGAAATACATCTTATTTGGTTGTATAGCGCCCGCTGGGGATGTCATGACACCAGCACAACAAGATTCACCGGCGCCTGCGGAAGATAAGGACGAAGATGGAGAAAAAACTGTTGGTGACGAGGACGGTCCCAAAGTGCTTTCAAAGAAGGAGAAAGAGAGATTAAAGAAGGAGCGAGAGAAGGTGGGCATTACACTAGATGTCGTGTCCTGATCTCTAAGTGCTGTTTTAGGCCAAAAAGAAAGCACAAGCAGCTGCGAAGAAGGCTGGGCAAGGAGAGGGAACAGAGGAGCCGCCATTAACGCCTACACCTGTATCTGCTGCTCCACCAGCTGAAAATGAGAAGGAAGAGGACGATGAGGAGGGGGATACCGCTGGTGGTAAGACAGATTCAAAGAAGAAGAAGAAAAAGAAGGCGAAAAAAGACGAGGAGGCTGCCGCGGCACCTGCACCCACAGCGGGGAAGAAAAAGGGTGGGGCTCTTAGTATGCTGAAGGCGAGATTGGAAGAACAGAGACGACTGGAAGAAGAGGCGAGACTCAGAGAAGAGGAGGAGCGCAAGCGGATCGAAGAAGAAGAGCGGAGAGAAGAGGAGGAAGCAAGGAGGAAAGAGGAAGAGAAACAAAGGAGGAAAGAAAAAGAGAAAGTGAGTGTCTGCTCGTTCTGTCGTGGTTGTATTTGTGCTCTAATTGGTGACAGGCTAAACGGGAGCTCGCGAAGAAGGAAGGTCGTCTGCTGACGAAGAAACAGAAAGAAGAGCTGCGTATGGCTGAGCTGCGAAAACAAGCGCTCCTTGCTTCTGGGGTACAGGTCGAAGGTCTGCAACAATCTTCGGGTCAACCGGCCAAGAAAGTTGTTTACGGTAATCGGAAAAAGAAGGGGCCTGAGAAGGCTGCCAGTGTTACTAGTAGCTCTCCCGCTACCAGGGAGACGTCCCCAGTGCGAGAAGAGAAGCCCGCTACACCCGTACCTGAGCCCGTTGCTGCTGCTGAAGTCTCGAATAAGAAGCTCGATGATGTTAAGGACGACTGGGACGCCAGCAGTGATGATGAGCAGAAACATCCGGAAGGTGTGAAAGACTCATGGGACGACAACAGTGATGATGAGGAAGCCAAAGCTGCGAAGTCGATCCAGGCCGCTCCAACAGGTCCGTGAATATTTCTGCCCTTGATAGAAACTGGAAACGCTTATGTTCATAAACTTCTCGACCTAAAGTTCCTCCCAAAGCGTCTACCCCGGCAAAACCGCCAGCAGCAGAGAGGGCAGTGCCGACAAAGGCAACAACACCCGCTCTTACAAGGGCCAATGGTACAAAGACGAACGGTGCCGCAAGGAAAGCGCCTTCAGAGTCGGAAGAGAGCTCAGATGAGGAATCGGGATCCGAGTCCGAGTCCGAGTCTGATTCAGATTCGGACGAGTCTGAATCAGACTCTGAATCAGAGTCAGACGGTATGTCGAAGGCACAGCGGATGGCGGCGCAGCGTAAGGTAGAGGCTGCAGAACGGCGGGCAAAAGCTCATGAAGCCGCTCTCGCTGCACGGAGTAAAGATAACCTTCGCAGTCCCATTTGCTGTATCTTGGGTCACGTTGACACGGGTAAGACCAAGCTGCTTGATAAGGTGCAGTTTCTTGCATTTTATTCGGAAACCTGAGGGTATAAACAATACACATTACAGATTCGTCAAACGAACGTGCAAGAGGGCGAAGCTGGTGGTATCACCCAACAGATTGGTGCAACTTATTTCCCCGTTGACGCGATAAAGACAAAGACTGCTGTGCTCAATAAGGTATACCTGGAGCTTGATATTTTGATGCTGGTTTATTTATATTAACACTCACAGGATGGGTCACAAGAATACAAGATCCCTGGTCTCTTAATCATTGATACTCCTGGACACGAATCTTTTACAAATTTGCGGTCGCGTGGAAGTTCCCTTTGTAATATTGCTATTTTAGTTGTCGACATTATGGTTCGTGCACCCATGCCTTGTTACTGTTGCATATACTAACATATCATATAGCACGGCCTCGAGCCTCAGACACTGGAGTCTCTGCGTCTGCTGAGAGATCGTAAAACACCATTCATCGTGGCATTGAACAAGGTAAGGCTGATTGGTGATAGACGAGGATGGCATTAAATCATGCTGGTCAGATTGACCGAATGTACGGCTGGGAGGCTACGCCCGACAACGACTTCCGTAGTTCGCTGGCAAAACAGAAGCGCTCGGTTCAGCGCGAATTCGAAGACCGTGTCGAGAAGACAATCCTTGCCTTCGCTGAGCAGGGTTTGAACGCCGTTCTTTATTACGATAACAAGAATTTTGCACGTAATGTCTCTCTTGTCCCCACTTCGGCCGTCACTGGTGAAGGTGTACCGGACATGATCATGCTCCTTGTCAACCTCACCCAACAACGCATGAGCGATCGTCTCATGTACCTCTCGGAACTGGAATGTACCGTCCTCGAGGTTAAGGTCATCGAGGGTTTGGGAACGACCATCGATGTCGTTCTTTCCAACGGCATCTTGCACGAAGGCGAAAGGATCGTTGTCTGTGGGCTTAATGGACCAATTGTCACTCAAATTCGTGCTCTCTTGACTCCTCAGCCATTGCGGGAACTGCGTATAAAGGTACGCCCAAGTCTAACACGATCGCTCACATGCTGACGGATCTTGTTTGTTGCAGTCGGCGTATGTTCATCACAAAGAGGTCAAAGCTGCCCTCGGTGTCAAGATCGTTGCACCAGACCTCGAAAAGGCTATCGCCGGTTCGCGTCTGCTAGTCGTAGGACCGGATGACGATGAGGATGACCTTATGGATGAGGTCATGTCCGATCTTACAACCCTCCTTAACTCAATCGACAAATCTGGCCGTGGTGTCTGCGTACAGGCGAGTACACTGGGATCCCTGGAAGCTCTCCTCGATTTCCTCAAGTCGAGCAAGATTCCTGTCTCGGGCATCAATATTGGACCAGTTCACAAAAAAGATGTCATGCGCGCGGCGACGATGTTAGAGAAGGCGAAGGAGCTCGCCGTCATTCTCTGCTTCGATGTGCCGGTCGACAAAGATGCGGATAGGCTGGCCGAAGAAATGGGACTTCGTATCTTCAAAGGTAATTTGCCGTGCTACCACGCTGATTGAGTTGTTCACAAATTTTCAGCCGATATTATCTACCATCTCTTTGATGCCTTCACCGCGTACAACAATGAGATCATGGAGGCGAAGCGCAGAGATGCTGCCCCCCAAGCCGTGTGGCCTTGTAGGCTGAAAATCATTGCTGCTTTCTGTAAGCGTGATCCCATTATCCTTGGTGTTGACATCCTCGATGGCACACTGCGGGTGGGAACACCATTGTGTGTTGTAAAGGTTGATTCAGAGACCCAGAAGAAGGACATCATCGACCTTGGAAAAATGTGAGAATGGTCGCCTCGTCTCCTCTAATACTGATCAGGAGGCTTTTCTAGCACTTCGCTGGAGATCAATCACAAGTCACAAGAAGTAAGCATTCAATGAGAGTGTCTCGTAATCGACTGGTGTTAACTTCGTGTGAAGATTGTCAAGAAGTCGCAGGCGGGAGGTGGTGTTGCCGTTAAGATTGAGCACGCTGTCTACCAATCCGCCAAGATGTTTGGGCGACACTTTGACGACAAGGATGAACTCTACAGCCATATCACGCGGCAGAGTATCGATGTGCTGAAGGTATGCTGGTCTACCTATCGTTATTTTCTGTAGCCTAATCGCCGCCTAGACGTCGTTCAAACAAGATGTCAGTAACGAAGAGTGGCTGTTGATCAAGGCTCTCAAGCCGGTACGTGTATGCCATTGGCGTCCCATACAATCACTGACAGATGGTGCCTGCAGCGCCTGAACATCCCGTAAGAGGGGGGCGATTGTTTGATTATCTTTGCTCCGATGGGCCCCGCTGGACCAGTGTTGCATGTGGCATCCTTACATAACCATCTGTATTTATACCGCATCTGAGTGTCTGCAATTTGTATCTTCCTTCTGTTCCTTCTGCCGTACAATGTCTGCCGAAGGAATCGATATAACGAAGCTCCCCATGAGGGCGGACGAAGGCGATTCCTCCTCCATCGACGAGGACGAGATCCAGCTGGTGAATACGGCGTTGTGGGGTTAGCTATGCAGCGGGGTCGTTGTAGACTGTATCATGGGTAACGTCGTTTGTCAGTGGGGCACTGGAACGGCTGCGGGTATCCTCTTCCGCGATGCTGTAACCTGCTTGCCAGGCGTCGGTGGGACGCTTGGCTCGGCCAGGTGCAGTGGATGACCGGGGAGGATTGAGATTATACCGTTTGAACCTGAACAGCGCTCAGACCTGCGTAGGGAAGCCCCCAGTGTCGCCTTCTCATTTTTGCACCCCTCCTTAGCCAGGAGGGTTCCTTCAGGATGTACTAACCCAGACTTATTTTTTCTCTAGCAAAAGCTCGGCTACAAGCAGGTATGCTTCAATCCTTGATTGAAGCGTAGAGCTCTCCTAATTTGTCGTTTAGCAACTACATCGTAGCTGGCATTTCGTTGAAAGCTTCGCCGCTAGTTTTGTGGCTTTGAATTTCATCGGTGGTGTTCGGTATGGTGCAAGAACTGTCTGATAAATTTATGTTCGCTAATTCTTACTGCACAGCGCCGGTATTTTCTTGGGTCTCGAAGCTGGTGGTCCCGCCGCGGTTTGGTCGTCATATATCATCTCGATGATATTTATGTTCATCACGGCCGCTGTTCTCGCGGAGATTTGTTCTGCTCTACCTCTGAGTGGCTCCATCTACGTCTGGTCCGCAGAGAGTGCTGGTCCAAAATATGCAAGATTCTTTGGATTCATCGTCGCGTGGTGGTCTTGCACAGCTTGGATGACATTCGCTGCTGGGAATTGTTTAGTGAGTTTACACTCCTGATTGTTATGAAATACTGTGAATATCTTACTTCGCATTCGTAGACTGCCGCTAACTACATCGTGTCGGAGCTGATGGTTTACAACATCAACTACCCCGGTGGGGCGGGTAATGACAGCGTCCAATGGCGTGCCCTTGTGTGGGCCGTCGCTGAAGCTTGTTTGATCGTGTCTATCGCCATCAACTATCTTCCCCCGCGGATGTATTCTGGTGTCTTCAAATTTTCCATCGCATTGTACATGCTGGATTTTTTCCTCTGCTTAATCTGGCTCCCCATCGGCGTTTCCAAGACGTATGGTTTCCGTTCGGCCAAGGAAGTGTTCACGATGACCTGTAAGCTATCATATTCTTACGTGAGGGAACATGTATCCATTCACAATTTTGTCAGATAATGGTACAGGTGCACCTCCAGCGTGGAATTGGATTCTCTGCTTGTGAGTTCATGGCATATACCCCTCCCCTATTCAGCTGATAATGTATATATAATATAGCCTGTACACATCCGGAACAATGATCGGTTTTGATGCCTCAGGTCATATTGCGGAGGAGACCAAGAATGCCAGGTGAGTTTGGGCTTTATCTGTAGGTGTCTCACGCATCAACTTAATTTATTTCAGCGTCGTGGCTGGGCGCGGGATTTTGTCTAGTGCCATCGCCACTGGTGTACTTGGATTTATCACCAACATCTTGTTTTTGTTCTGTACTCCCGACTTGGATACCTTATTTGCCCTTGATGCACCTCAGCCCTTCGTGCAACTATATGCTCTTGCGCTGGGCAAAGGTGGCAGCATCTTCATGACCACCATCGCTGCAATTGGTCTTATTCTGGTATGTTGGTCTGGCCATCGCCACGGTTTGTGCTTATAGTCTGCTCGCACCAGAATACCAGTGTCGCAGTTGTAGCTGCGTCCCGCCTCATCTTTGCAGTCGCTCGTGACGGCGTATTGCCTCTATCTGGCTGGATCGGACAAGTCGATGCGCTACGCCAGCCGCGCAATGCAGTGACAGTAATGTTCGTGTTCGGCGGCGTTCTCCTTTGCTCTATTCTACCGAGTCAAGTTGCCTTCACGTCGCTTACGTCTGCGGGTGGTATCCCGACGACTGCTGCCTATGGACTAATCGCGTTGCTGAGGTTGACGATGACGCCGAACGACTTCAAGTCGTCTCACTTCTTTTTGGGACGATGGAGGAAACCATTCTATGTCGCAACTATTCTGTTCAATGGACTGGTGTTTGCGGTTGGTCCCAAACTTTTGGCATTGGCTTTCCGACACTGACACACTGATCATCGCCAGACTCAAATTTCGCCCTTCTACTTCCCTGTGACCCCACAGACGTTCAACTTTGTAGGTCTAGTCCTCATTGTAAGAGCCTGAAGCCTCAATGTTTCTTCACAGGCTTGTGTAATATTTGGATCCGTCACGGTGTTCGGTATTCTCAGCTGGTACCTGATTCCTGAAGAGAAATGGCTTCGCCGCGATCAGATCCTTCAAGCCATGCAGGCGACTGACGAACCCTATGAAGCTGGAAGTTCGGGTGTCGCTGGCGGAGGTAGGGGCGTTGGAGAGAATGCCAGACATCGTCGTGACTCGATCAGCAAAACTACCGCAAAAGATATGGAACTAGAGTAGCTATGGAATGGTTAGTCTAATTGACCAGTGCTATAAATCTAACAAACAGAGGGGGGATGGGGGGTTATGAATGAATATTATGCTTCCACTGCTCTGAATGCGAGTGAATATATATATATAAGCTCCGCCTTGTCAAAACTAGAACGGCTCGAGGCCCAGTATGCCCTGACAAGCTCCTTCAACGTCAGCAATCTGCAAATACAAGCACTTCAGCACCTAGCTCCATCGCTATTGGCGCAATGTGCTTACCTCCTTGGGGGCATTCACACTGAGTACGATAGGGTGCTCCTCTCCAACGAGAACTTCGTCCTAGAAGCCTATCAGAAGATAATTTGAGATGATAGATTGAAATACACACTTCTATTCGCATGCCGATATTGTGGAAGTGTTTTGGGTAGTGAGATAGAGGAGGGACATAAACGCCTATATTCCTTCATGAAAACGCAATCGCGAGGAACGCATGTAGTCAGACATACCCGGTTCGACGGTGATCACCATCCCGGCTTTGATTCTACATACGAGGGAGGAAAATTGATGAGTAAAGCGCTCATCCGATCGTACCGAGATCAACGCACGGTGAGTTGCGTTCAAAATGACTAGATTCGTGTAGATCTGATGGATTTGGACAGTCATTTAAATATGCAAGTTCTGTGACGAGCATGATGGAACCGGCATACCTATGCCCACTGGATGTCCCACCGAGTGCGGATATAATTCCGATATTCTCGCTTCTCCATTCATCCCATCCAAATCGAAACCGATCTGACGAAGCTCTGTCTTAAGCAAATCGACAGACCTTCTATGCAGTTGGGATATCGAAAGGCCGGCTTTGGCGGTGCACATTTTCACAACCGCCTTTTGTGTTGCAAGCAGAGCAGAGTACAGCGCAGCCTGGGAGGAAGTGAAGTGGCCGGTCGCCGGGAATGTTCGAGCTTAAGTATCATAATTAAAGGCAGCTTGAACAGAATCAAAGAGTGGCGTACTGATGTCCGAGGCGTATCCACTACATTGCCAATGTTTAAGCACCCACAAACAAGGTAAAACTCACGCCGACTCACTTGTACTCGCACCCTGCGTCAATCAGCACGAGCTCACCATCGCGTATAACATGATTATTGGCCGTATAATGTATCACCATCGCATTCGGCCTACATAGTCGCAGAGCAGGCGACCTAGTATCAGTTCCCGATACTCATGCGTTCTGGGAGTCCACGCACCCGGACGCGACTACGGGAACATATGCCGGACGCTGTGCACCTTCCCGCGCGCACATATATTCGAAATGTGCTGCAAGGGCATGTTCCGACAGCCCTGGGCGTGCAAAACGCATTGTCTACAAACATGGTATAATTAGGAAGGTAAGAAAGGTGATATCAAAACTGCAAATAGAGTCCGGCAAGTGTACGCGGACGAATGGATAGATGCTGCGTGCGGACAGAGATTTTTGAAGACGAGCGATGCCTACCTTCGCGTGAGCTCTTGCGCTAATATCTGCAGCTTCTCTCATAACCCGGTGCTCGCATTCGCTCTTGATAGCACGCAAGCGGCCGACTTCAGGTGCCAGCGGACGACGTTTTGCTGTCGGTCCATTCCCACTCAATACATCGAGCAGCGCATCATTGTCATGAGAAGTTTTGGTCAAATACTGCGTATACACGAGTTCTCTTATCTCCGCGTGGAAACGATATGCCAATATTTGCGCACCTTCAACAATGATCTAGTTGACGCCGTTCGTCCACGACTCCTCGCCGAACCATTTCCTAATGGCAAGTCTACATACACGTAGTCTCTACGAACCAGCAGGCTGTGCAGTGCGCTTGGGAGTTCATCGATGGGTCTAGCGTCATCCGCTTTGAATGTGCGGACTACGTCTTCAGGCGATGTTTTTGCTCCTTCCCACTGCGCTGTCGTGGCCGAAGATGGTGCGTGGAAGAGTATGTAGGTGTATCCGCGAGAGGAGGAGGGATCGGAAAGTAGAACCAACACGGATGAAGGCTCCTCAAATCCAGTTAGGTACCAAAAATCGGATGCCTGGCGGTACTTGTAGCTGCATCGTGTTGCAGTGAGCATGGCACGGGAGGCATGTCGCTAAGACTCACAAGATGTCTGTACGTCAGTTAGCTCATATATCCGACCTGAACCCAATAATGCAAAACACACTTTCACTCATGTACTTGACCGAGGCAGCGGCACATACAACAACGCTGTTCGGCGGGAGGTTTTGCATGAGCGCACGTCGTCTCCGCTCATATTCCTCGGTTGGTATGCCCGGTGTGAGTTCGCCTTTCTGGACTTTGAGTCAAACTATCAGTCACATCGTGTTTACAAAGTATATGTCTTGAGTCTCGTTACCGACCAATATGCGGATGGGATGGGAACACTGGCTGGCCATATGATGAGGGCTTCATGCATGTGTCTGCGCTTAGATGAGCCTCCGTCGCATACGGGCGGCCCACTCTTGAACATTTTGCCTGAGGTAGTAAACGAAGGGTGCGACGAAAGAGGACCCGAGGTTGGTGGAGGGAGATTATGAGCGGACGGAGAGACATCACTTATATGCGCCGATCCATCAACACGCACGGATATGCACAGTGAGCGCTAAAGAAGTACACGCCATGTTGCACATGCAGATTTACAAAGGATGCGACTAAAAGTACAAATTGTAAAGATGTTGTATGTCAACTTATCTGTACTTGCTCTCACTAATCAAGAAGCTGTTTCAGTCCGTTCACGACTACATCAAAATCAAATTGAGACAATGGAACGTTTTTCCTCAGCCAAAAATCGCGGTTAGGCAAGTTCGCAAGCAATATCAGCCTACGCTTGTTCACGACGCCAACATCCTTGAATTTCATGACGAGATCATTTTCATCCTCATCCTCATATAGCGCTAGACGATGAACAAACTGAGCAATAGGGTCATCGGCAGCTGGCGAAGCTGGCTCTAGAGTGTTGCGGTTCACAATAGTCGAATCCGATATCGCTGTTCGACTTCGCGCTGTCGGCGAAGAGGATTGGGGTGGGAACGAAGTAGTCGAAGAAGCTGAATATCTGTTGCGAAGTGGTCGTTGCACAGCTCCAGGCACAAAAGTAGACCGCTGTCGGGGGAACCGCACGCATCAGTCGACATGTAGCGAATATGCAGAATTTCACAAATTACCTGTTTGTGGCCAACTTTGGCCGAATGCCTTACTGCTCCAGATGGGAGAGATGTCACCACACTTTCTTGACGCGGTGTAGTCCTATCTGAGTACGAGTGCTGAGATAAACAAGATGAACGTCCGTTTCAACATCTCCCCAATGAGATGAGATGTGCTGACCTGGTAGGGTGTACTGCGAACCGGGTGGTCTTTTTGTTTATTATGAACCATCATACCCTTCAGGTAGATGGTAGTGTAAACATCGACAGGCCAAGCATCCTCATAGCGTCCTGAATCCTCCCATCGAAGGATGACCTGAATGTCTTCAGAGAAGATACAATTACTATCAGGATCCTGAATGAGGCTTACATCCCTCCGATGATTCTCGACACAATCAGGATCTTGTTCATGATAAAACTTGACCGGGTCGAGGTGTCTGCGAGCTGAAGCTCGCACTAAAGACTAATCATCATGTCAGCGGAAAGAGGTAGATCTCATACGTATAAAGATATCACACCCCAAACTCTCCAAACTGTGGTGGTTTCAAGTGCATTTGACTCAGAAGTGATACTGCCGTGCGAGAGCTAGTATGTGCCACAACTCGCGCTACTGTTTGAGGTTTAGGGATGACAATGAGGGAATCTAAAAATCTCAGCCACAAGCTTGTTCGAATGTTGAAAACATACCAGACATCTTGACTGCGTGTGTGGACAGGTAAAAGGAGAAAGCGAGAGGGAGATCGAAGGGAGATAAGGCAATATACATATCTCCCACATGCCCCCGTCTTCCGCTAATTTTACGGCAACCCCCAGACCACGGGCCGTCGTCGTCCGGGTCGCCTTCCTCGCAAAACGAGCGAAAGAACGACCTTCTCTCTCCAAAACCAGTGTCGGCGAGGCGCCACACTTCGTATTTCCCGGCCCGATAAGCCGACAGCATCCCGCAGTCGAGAATGAGCACAAGCATCAAACCAAACCAAACAGTTATCTTCAGGTCGATAGATTCGACCTAAAAGTATTATCAAAAGTCGGAATTGACCCACGTTTAATATCGCTCAGATGGCTTTGAGCAGTCAAGACGGTGGTGGATCACTTTGGCGTGGGGTTGCTCGTCCGGGACATCCTTAGGTAGAGACATTGGTGTCAAGACGATGACTAGTGTGATCCATTACTGCCACAATCAATCTGAATTGATCAAAAGTAGTATGCGAATTATACACCCGCAGTGCCGAGCTCGTACCAGCGTCCTCCGAGACTCCCAGCGGAACTGACCTGCTCTTTCACTGATTCTTCTTCTCGGATGCAATATATCCCTTCGGTGGCTCGCCTTGCAGCGGTGACTGTATGCTCGCAAGCGCAGACACGCCCAACAAAACGATCGGTATGAGGACGAAGAATCCAATAATCATGGAAAGGATCAGTCCGGGAGTAAGAAGCTGGTAGTGAGCTAGAATGCCGCCGGATGGTGGAACGAATGAGCTAGTGGAATTCGGTGCGAGAGCTGGAGAGAAGGACGTTGATTGACGAGCGTTGAGCGACGGGCTCCAGCCGGCATACACAACTAGGTGCTTAGGGAAAACCTCCGAGATATCAGCAACGGTAGAAGAGAGGCGAGACTCTGGTGCAGCGGGAATATATGATAGTTAGGAAGAGCGGATATGCGAGCGACAATCAACATACCGTGCTGCGCCATCTTGGTTTTCCTTTCAAGACCAGAAAGGTCGTCAAGAGCAGGCATCTCCATACACATGACGTGCTTCCCCTTGTCTCCGGAGACAATATCCGTTTGTCCGGGAACGTAGCTGATGACACGCGCACCACATCGCTCAGCAATCGTGCTGGCAAGGTTGGAGAAGGGGTTGGAGCTAATGTGGGGGACGTAAGGGAGCTCGAGAGTAGATGCGGCGGCATTGAGTGACTGAGCAAGACCGCCCGAAGGAGCTAGTGTGCGCAGGTCGGAGGCGTGAAGCTGTTGGCCGGGTCTGTAAGCACCTGGCAGAGGCGTATAGATGTGCTACTCACCCCTCGTTGGTTCACGAGTACAATGGCGTCATGCTCGCACACATTATCGTTCCAAAGAAGACTTTCTAGGAGCGTCGAAACATGGGTAGACTTGGAGAGGGGTGCAGTGTTGAGGCCGTTCGAACTGCAGCGTCGGTGGGTCAATGAAGCCTGTGCAGAATAGAGTTCACTGCGAACCTGTGAGATGACCACGCGACAATTGGATGCGTATTTGAGAATGCAATTGCCGTCGCAGGCAAGAGAGCAAGGAGGAAGTAAACTGCTCGTCGAGCCATGGCACTGCGCAAGCTGACGATTCGAGGAGGCAAAGGGCAACCCCGGCAATATCCGCTCTTCCCAAATAAGAAGTGCCTTGAATATTCGCGTGAGTTGCTTCTTGCTAATTGCCACAATGGTATGGCGACTTGAGAGCACCGAGGCATCTTCTTGCCTCTATCGTTGCTCGCTCATCTTCTGTACAAAAGGGTAAGCACGGCAGTTCAGCTATCTCGCACAGGCTGACTGCCGCAATTCGTCAAATCCTCCTCAAGCGAGGCGACAGCCATGCCTGTGAACGCAAAATGCGTTCGTCAGCTGTTCATCCATGTATGCCATATTACGGCGGGTGTGTCTGCTTTTTGATCGCATCCTTCGTGCGCCGCATGATGTCCCCTTCTCGAGATCATCATCTAGGCTGCATTCTTTACACAAAGTTTGTTTCGAGCTCATTTTACTCGTCCGCTGCCCGAATGGCGCGCCACATGTCGGATGTGTTGACGGCTCAGCTTGAATTTTATACCGCTGATCGGATATATGGTCTAGACAAGGACTTGGGCCGCCAAGGTTGATGCATTTCAGGTTATTTGTCTGCCGCCAGGAGGTAGTAGTCGTGCCGAGGGAATCGTGCTCGGCCTCGCCGCTCTGCTTTCTGGCAGTCGTTTTCCAAATACAAGATGTAGCGAGACAGCTGGGTGTGATATAAGTGTTTACTATACCATGTCACCGTGGTTGTGTATAAAGGTGTGTTCTCAGCACTCGAGCTGTATCCCCCCAGTCGCAACATCGACATGGCTCTCGGTTCTTCCTTCCTCGCTATTCTTGTCCTCACTCTCGCTGTCGCGGCTTCCCCTCTAGAGGCCCGCAACGGCCGGGTGTCTCTGCCCCTTGCAAGGCGGACGAATTCGACTGGTGTTACCAACGTTCTCGCACGCGATCAGGCGCGCGCGCAGTTCCTGAAGAACCGTGGACACAGTGACCTCAGATCGCGTTCAGGTTCTATCGCGGCAGTGAATCTGGTGGATACCTACGTCGTCAGCGTGCGTGCTCATTAGGCTAGCTAAGGCATTCAATATAATATGTATGTGGTGATCCTAGGTCGGGATAGGCGAACCCGCTACAGACTGTCAGTTTGCGGTCAAGTTTCAATGATTGTTAGATGGCTGTCTCATGTCTGCCTTCCGCAGACACTCTCATCGTCGACACCGGCTCCTCGAACACATGGGTTGGCGCGAACAAGGCATTTGTTGCAACTCCGAACACAGTCAACACTGGTAATATAGTTGTATGTCATTTTTAAAAAAAAATTCTCTGCCCGTATTTCTCTCATGGCTACTAGGATGTCTCCTACGGATCAGGCTCTTTTTTTGGTGATGAGTACTCTGGCACCATCACCCTGGGCAATGGTTTGAGCATCAGTAAGCAATCTTTTGGTGTTGCATTAGAGGCCAAGGGCTTTTCAGGCGTCGACGGGATCATCGGGTACATTATTGAGTGTTTTCCTTGAGAGAAAAGGTGACACTAAACAGTGGCATCTTCTAGTATTGGTCCCATAGACTTGACCCGCGGAACCGTCCAAGACACTAATGAAGTCCCGACTGGTATGAGAACTTTACATTTCTGTTATGCTCGTTCGCTGAATCTTTGGTAGTGACCCAGAACCTGTACACACAAAAGGTCATCGGAGAACAAGTCGTCTCTGTCTCCTTTGCACCTACCACCTCCGAAAGCGACGCTAATGGCGAGCTCACTTTTGGTGGTACCGATCCCAGCAAGTATACAGGCTCGATAGCCTACACGTCAGTCATTGTTGACGATGTCGTGTCCTCAAATCCAGACTCACCTTCCCCCCAGGCCTCTCACAACCACCTCACCTGCTAGTGACTACTGGGGCATTGACCAATCTATCACTTA